GTTTTTTGAAATCGGTCAGATAATAACAATTTTACAGGGGTGGTAAGTCCTCAAGGTGGACACACTGTATATTCCACGGTCAAGCACCTTTTAAACGTACCCGTATATATGTATATTGTCTGGTACCAAATCAGCTGGTTTTCTCTTTTCGGCTTCTTCTCTGCTCTCCAAAGTGATTGAATAATTATTCTTATTCTGATAATCATCTTCAATTTCATTAAATCTTCTCTCTTGACTGACTTGTTTACACTGGACCAGTTAACGAGACATTAAAAACGAGTGACTTTTTTACAATGTGCGAAAATGTGAAAGGCAAATGTTTGACATTTTTTCATGCAACTCCAATAAAATTGTTGGCCAAACATGTGTAATATTTTCGATTGAGGAATTACATTACACTTGGAATAATGAAGCTCATTACGTTATAATTGAATTCTGGACACAGAAACTAATTTACACAAAATTGGGGATAGGATACTTAAAACAGGTTAATATGTTTTCTGGTGAATTGAGAAACCATTTAATGAAAGGTCCATAACTTAAATAGGAACATACAACTTTTTCTTGCCTGTACTATTCAGCATAACCATTCCTTTCTAATGATATAATAGAAAGTCATTTTTTGAAATGAATTACTCAAGTTATGGACCTACAGAGTATATTGGTTCTTTCCCAATTTTTCCAATATTTTTTTTGACGGCTTTTTATAACGCCGACGAATGAAAATAAAATATCACAGTAGTAGCAACTGTAATCAAGTGACGTATAGTTTCCATAGCCAACCTTTCAATTTTTGGCTTTCATTTTGCTTCCACGGCATACTCGGTGAATTTCAATAATAATTTTTTTCTGATCTAGTTTCTGGTTAGATACCAACTTGTGATATGTCATTAGAAACGGAATTGGATGCTGAATAAAGCGAAAAGAAAAAAAAAATAGGGTTTCCCTTTAAAATAAGAAAGTTGATGTTACTTCCGGTCAGACCGGAAGTTAACTTCGACATGTCGATATGCTCAAATTCTAGCTCTTATGTCATTATATCGACGCTCCGAATTTCACAAACCTACTTCATACAATAACTGAGATATTCCGTAGGCAATACTTCCGTAGCCACCCGGTATAGGGTGGATTATGGGATTTGGCAAAAACATATTTTGATCATATCTTCCCAACAGCTTTTTCGATTTGTCTCATTTCTTCATTAAATATTCTGCTATTACTATCTGATCGACTGACCTATTCAGAATCAAGAAAATCCAGGACAGTTCGTGAAACATCTTGCTATAATTCAATTAATATCAAAAAGTTCATCCTGTATATGGTTTTTGTAAACTGTGACAGAAAATATTCAGAGGTCCCAAACGAACATCAGAAATGAAACATCCAAGATTTTGTCTCACACTTTCACAGAATTCTGGAGCACTCCATTTAACATACCTCTGAATTCAGATTTTCATAGAGATTTCAAAAATTTATTAATATATAGGGATTTCCATTCGGAAAAATTGTCGCGGTCGTCATTACTCAAACGTGGATCACCCTGTATACTTAATTTATCCTGATAAATTTAGCAAATTCCTTTGAAATTGATACTTTGGCTGAAAATAAGTTCATTCAGCACCTACTTTACGAAAGCACTGTATAAATCTTCATAGAAATTCATACCTTGCTTATAGAGATATCTAACGATATGAATACAAATTAATACGAATAATTCCTTATAGCGAAATCTCTAGTATCTCGAATGATCTAGGAAAAAACACCAGTATAATGACACGTTTCAGAAACAATTGAACACATTCTGTCAATCCTGAAAGGTCATTCTCCAATCGTAGCGCGTGATACTATGCTTTGTTCTAATAATATACCTCCATTAAAATATTGAATTACTACGAAGAATAATTGTTGATCTTTGTGATATCATTTAATTAAATTAATTTCTTGCGACTCAATTTATATCGGTAATTAGTTATAATAACTAGGCAATTGGTTTTATATAAATACTTTGTTGGAAGAGATTGAAAGATACAGGTTTGTTGCTCGGAGATATATAGTAAAAAAAAAGTTGCATAAAATAAGAAATCGTTGAAGCCACCAACACCCCGAATCAATTTGGTACCATCTGAGAAACGCATACAGAGTGTATGCATTACGTAGTCTGTCAACGAGAAATGGAAAAAAAAATTTTGAATAAATAAAATGTTCGTGCTTTCATCAACAAAAGTTTGTCATACATCGAAAAAATATATTTTGTTATAGCAACAAAATATTCAAGTTATTTCATTTATCCGACGTGAAAAGTGATTCAACTCAATAGCGATGACTGGTTGAAAAAACGGAATTTATATATCGATTCACTCATTTATTTTTCACTCTTATATGGCTTTCAGATTATAAAGTCTTTGTGATTCCATTTGAAATAAACTCAGTTTCCACATCTGTCCAATTGTATTGGCTGTATGATTATGAAGAGATTCATTATATTCCTATATACGAGTATAGGTGCCATATGTACAGGGTCTTCGGAAAGGTCATGTCGTAAATGAAAGGGCTGATAGACAGAGTCAAAATAAGGTTAGTATTTTTGTCTATGACTCTATCTGTTTACATCATGCCATGAACAGAGAGACAACTATGGAAAAAAATCAACTTTAGCAAGTTCAGCAATACAAACGAACAGGCCTTATATAACAAATATATCTGTCGCGCTTCGTTCAGAATTTCATGTATAACTTTCAAACGGTTGCCATGGAATCAATGATATTCGGACACGTATACATGAACTCATACTAATGGACCTTTTCGTACATGAACGGCTTTCAAGTGATTATGTTTTATAGAGGATACGTTTACGTATGAAAGGAGCATTAGTACGAGTTTATTCACATTCCCGAATACCATTGATAACATGTCAACCATTTGAAAGTTATACATGAAATTCATTTCTTTATTCTAACTTTCAAGGTCAATAACTCCATAACGAAGCGCGATAGACATTTCTTTATAACCTTTCCAGACACCCTGTATGTATACCGAAGGATCTTCAGCATCATCTTGTGCCATAAAAGGTGGTATACAAAGTTCCATTCTTTGTCGTGGTAGAGATTGCATCTTTACTCCAGTTTCAAGAATCTAAATCACTGATGAAATGTTGAATAAGCTACATACACTTATATGGTAATTTGGTATTGCATTAGGTCATTGACGATAATAAACAACAATACCTAACAATAATGAAAATAACACTCCGTATAAGTATTTTTAATAGAAAATGCTCTGAAATCAGTATCATAATATTATACACATCAGTGAGTTGTTCTTATGGTATGTCATCTGATTGTGGAATATTCTGAAATTATATTCAATCCTTTATCTACAGTACAAATTTTTGTGTTATTTTTTTCATTTTTTTGTGCTTTCCCATAGCTACTATAATATACTCACAACTTTTTTCATTCTCTCAAAATATTTTGAATTCTTTGTTGTTGTTATACGTATTAAAAATGTCAATGCAATCGGTCAAGCCGTTTAGTAGTTAACAAACCGACAGCACAGCGCCACCTACCAAGTCCAATAGTATTTCAAAATCATTCAGGAAACCATCGAGATACCCATATTAAATTTCATCCCAATCGGTTCAGCCATTTAGAAGTTATGTAAAAAAGATAAGTACGGAAGGATAATTTTTTCTACCCCGGTACGTCGCACTAGAATAATAAGGCTCTATCTGCCTTTTTTACCAGAATTGATATTTTGGTATGTAGGGGTTCTATCTGATAAATTCTTCATTTCGAGAGGTCATCTATCGCAATCTGTTGCAATTTGAATTAGTCATAATGCAGAGTTCCATCTACAGAATGTTCCTCTCTTAATTTGGTGTAACAACATCCTAACTACATAGTTTGGTTTATCATGGTTTTATCTACACCCAAATAGAACTCTTTTTCATCAAACCAATACATATATACACCCTTGTTATCCCAGTTCATCAACATTAAACATTCACAGTTATAGTGAGAAGTACATGAATTGAAACCGATTTTTTTTCACCTTTATTTTTCATCAAGAACTTGAAAGCAGTGAATAAAAGAAGCCATACTACATCTTAGTAGCCGGAAGTTACCGATTCCAAAAGATTCCGAAAGTTGTATCAAGAAACTCCAATACAAAAATATTCTTTTTTTCCGAGTTGCTGCATTGGGAGAAGGTGAACACATTTATGAAAAATGAAAAGCTACATGAACGAAACTGACAGAAACTATTTCGCTGCATTCCTGAAAGATCTAAGTTGAATCAGTCATTTTGTACTTCTCCCATTTCGATGATTCGAAATATACTTTTGGAAAATTAGATTTTTCGTATTATTTTATGAAACAAAGATGTACTTTATTGTCTATTTATCAGTTAGAACAATTACTACAATAGAGAGTCCTTCTGGGACGAAGTTATATCTACATTTTGGATGTTAACATTCATTTTAGAATGAAGAAAGGAAAAAATCAACTGATAAAACTTCAACCCATTTAAATATACTTTATCAGAACGAAAGATCTGATCGATTGAAATGGATGGAGTCAAACGTTCGCAGCACGATTCAGAGCAACTATACTTGGTCCAGATAGTACCTTAATATTCCAGGGCGACGACCCGTTTTCCCGTAGGAATGAAGCAACTTTCAGCGGTAGAAAGTAACCTATGTTCACCAAGCATAATCTCGGCTTCTAATGGTGAAATAATTTTTCAAATCGGTTCAGTAGTTTCGGAGCATATTGAACACAAATGAATAAATTTTCCTTCTTTATAATATTAGATAATCACTGGATCCCATCTTCCAAATAACCCGTATTCCTAAAATAAGTTTTTTTGAGGAATGATATTTCATTTAATATGAACATGGAATTCAGGAACATCCTGTATATAAATCGATCCTTCCCTAGACTCTTGTCTGTTTGTGTATGAGTGACAATGAAATAAATGAATAAATAATTTGTTATTTCTAGGAATCAATTATTATCATTCTGATATTTACATGTGGGGCCAATTGGTGTGATTCAGTATCAGATGTGAGTATCATTGATTATATCTATACGATTCTTTATTTAAATTCATTCACGAGCGATAGTTGAATGATGAATAGACACCCGATATTACATTCGATCTCTTTTCAATGAGCTCATTTTTCATTTGGATAAATGATCGATTGTTGTATTTCTTTATATCATTGAACAATTTCCGTTGAAAGTGGAATTGAATACGAAAATTGAATAAAACATAGATCCCAAAATATCGGTGGAATAATAGAGAAATATAGGTATTGATAACCAAAAGGCATTGTCATGTAGGCGATGATATATCGATTTCAATCACTTGATACTCGTGATATTGATAGCTTGTGTATCAAGTAGTTGATACTGTGAATTCATTGAATATATCGATGACACAATGATCGAGATTATAGTTCAATCTTTTGGTTAATTTCAGAAAAATTCATAATTCCTCAAAATTAATAACTCTTATCCAGTATAGACCCTCGATAACTCGCAGAAAAATGATTCTACGAAGAAAATTAAACACACCGTTTCACGCAAAAAAAATACATACTTCAACCCTCTACTTCCCAGAGCAATCCCCTCGTTGATTCAATTAGGAAATAAGGGTTATGTAATACATCATTGCAAAGGTCATTCAATTTTGCAGAGTTTTTTCAATTCCAACAAGCCATTCTCGGGAATTAAAATGGTATGTTTTCCAAATGTGGGTAAATGAATGTATGGAATGAATTATTGAATGGTTATCCCATATTGTTATCCACAACAAATGTTCAAAATGACCCCAATTGAATACTGGTAAAGTCTATGAATTCTTCATACACATTTGAGAATGTTTTTCTAGTTATTGCCTGGCATTCAGTCCTCAATCTTCTCTCCAAATCATCCAGATCAGTAGGTCCCGTTTCATAAATAACGGATCTCTAATGATCCCAAAGAAAACACCATTGGGTGCCAAATGGTGGTCCTCTTCGACCTCTCCCTCTGTTTGGGAAATTTTGGGGTAGCCGCATTCTCTCAACTGTTATACGAAATGAGGTGACGCAATATCTTGTTGAAAATGAATATTATTTGACAATAGATTTCGATCAAAATCATGATCAATGTTATTTATCTTTTGGGCCAGCACGCTTGCCAGAATTGGTACCAAATGATTTATTCCTCTGTAGTAATTTGGAATCTACAATATAAAATCTACTCACCTGAACGATGACGCTGAGTTTGATCATTCCAGGTGGATATCTATTTAATAATGCATTTTGTACATTTATTTATTGACAATTAAACAATAACATATAACCATTTGCATCGAATATCTCGAGAACGCCTTGTTGGAATTGAAAGAACTCTGCAATGCTAGTGTCAGAATCAAATTACCTTTGTAATGATGTATAACATGTCCCTATTCAAATTATTGAGGTGGTTGCTCTGGGAAGCAGAGAGTTGAAGTAGGTATAATCTTTTTTGCGTCCCCTTCAAATGAAAATCATCGTGTTTCGTTAATTTTTTGCAAAATCATCTTTCTGAGAGTTATCGAGAGTGGATAGTCCTGAATGGACCCCCTGGTATGTTACATCTACGTACGGGGTGATGTTTTTGTTATTGAAGATAATACAAAAAAATTTGGGGTTGTACATTAAAGATCAATCAACTTTTTTTGTCATATTCAATTGCTTTGCCTCACTTCCGGTTTGACCGGAAATGAACCCAACTATGGATTTTTGAATTGGGCACCCTATAGAATGCCATGGATTGTGTAAATCGCTCACTATTGATCAAATAACATGGGAAAAATATGACATTGGGGCTTATGACTTCACAGTCGTTAAAATGATCATTTGTAATTCGCAAATGTGATTTTTTCCAATTCTCAATGTATCATTGTATATTATGTATATATCCGGAGATTATCACCCACATTTTGGAAATAATAAGTCGCAAATTGAAGTTGAGAAGGTGATGATCGAAATTTGTAAAAATATACAGGGTGTCCCATTCAAAAATCGGAAATGAGGCTCATTTCCGCTGAAACTGGAACTGACGAACTATGATACACAACCCCCAAATTTTGTTTCTCCATCTTCAATAATAAGAAGCTATCGGAGTGAGCCACCTCGAGAAGAAACATGGTATAATTAAGTTTCAATGAAATTTTATGATTTTCAGAATTCATACTCTTTCAAGTACGTTATAGATACAAGTGGAATATTGAGCCAACACTTGGAGGAACGGGATAAAGAAAGAGTGAGAGGATCATATAGTTTCCTGCAGCCAGACGGACAAATCCGTATAGTGCAATACGAGATTGAAAATGGGTCAGGATTCAAGGCGTTTGTTAGCTATAGAAAATTATTTTCAGGTAAATTTAGACAATTTAATAAGTAAGAATAACTTTACTCATCCTGTATATCGAAGTTCGCCTCGGTTTCTAACCAAACTAGTCCATTGATTGAAAATGTGAAATATTCATGCAAATATAGGTGTAATCTTTGAATATTAACCAATTAAGTTAGGAAATTAATATTTATATCGATAAAAATCCCCTGAGTTGAACAAAATTGGATTGTGATGTATCCTCTTCATTTTTGTTACCGCAACAGAAATGTGTTGATATTCTTCAACTGAAAATTTATTCAATGTTACTCATAGGTCATTCAACTCTGAACAAGAGCTTTTGTTGGTTGTTATATTGAATTTATGTAACATATATCATCTCATTCAAGTGGCAAAATGTTCAAACATAAATATTTTCAGTACAAATGAATATTATTTCAATTCAAGGACGAATTCCATTCGATTAACACAACGATATTTGAATTCAACGAACTATTTTGTTAAACTCACATCATTAATTATTGAATTTCTTCTAAATTAAAACATATTCAGGTGGACATAAGGAAGTTTGAAAGAAATGATATATTGTGGCGAAAATAATAAGGAAATATTTGAATTATTCGAAGTATTGGTTATTTCTGTTCTACAAATAATCTGTTTGAGATAACAAAATTTCCACTTGAGGATGGAACAACAATTATCGTTGTTTCAACATATAATTCAGTCGAAATCAATTCAATTTTGTCAAATAGACAAAATGCCAATGATTGATTCAACAATGAGATGAGTGATGAATCGAATAATATAATGTTGTTCCACGACATATTTTATTATTAAAATGAAATGATTGTGTGATCAACAAATCATTTGTCACGTCAAATTGGAGTGTTGTTCAATGATACGATATTATATTCGAATATACTAATTCGAATGATGAATTTTGTCTTTAGACTCGTTCCGAAATGATATACACTGTAGAAAATTCCTCTGAGTGAATGCATTTGTGGTTGTGAGTGAATATACTGATTGAAATTTTTGAGTGAATTCTCAACTCAAACTAGATATTTCATCATGTTTTCATATCAATGAAAATGTTCATAACAAATTTGATTGAATCGGTTCATGAATTACCATTTAACACAGTCAAGTAGGGTGAAATTTCAACTCAATCGGGCGTGGACCGAAATTGACTCATTATTGCGTGAACCTTGAGTGAAATTTCACTCAATTTTTTTTTTCAGTGTATCATTCGAAATGATTATATACCTATGTTGTCTGTTTGGCAAATATTCAGCTTTTTTTTCTTGTGTAAAACATCAAGTGCATATTTTTTATTAGCTTTGTCCAATGTTTCACGAAACCATCAATGATAACGATCCTTCATGTTTGTTAAAAAATGTAAATGCTCGAGTTGAATGATAGTGGTAATGTTGGCCAATCGTACTCTGCAGACTAATTTCTATGAATATGAGTGTACCGAAATAACAAGATCAAGTGCATCAGCTCAATTTGTTTCAGGGAGAGATCATTAGCAATTGACCTTTTCAAATTGAGTTTGTTGTGCAATTTCATGAGATTATTCTTCAGTAAATGCTTTTGTATGTATGAATGTCCATGAAAACAAAATTGATGACTATAGTAATAAATCGCACAAACATTCTTAGAGTAGATGTGTGAGGGCATCACTAAATTATACAGGGTGGAGACTTTAACTGAAATAAATTCGCTACTGGGGGAGTGAATGATACTTCTGAAAATTCGCGAGACACGTCAACGTTTAAATGTATTTATGCACCAGCGGGCCGTAAAGTGCACGTTACCGTCCCATTTTGCGGGCGTTAAGTTGAACTTTACCGCCCGCGGGCTCATTATGGCACACGGGCCGTAAAGTGCACTTTACCGTCCGCTGATGAATAATGACCCTCGGCTAGCGCCATCGGGCCATTATTCACGCCACAGGCCATAAATGCCTACTTTACGCCCTTGACACATAGATAATTACCCATATGGAAAATATAACCCTTCAGGAATAACTAGAATCATTCCCAACATGTTTTTTTCAAATGCAACATTATGTCTTGCAACCCCTCATTGGAAAGCTGCTTGATAGAGGAATCCAGCATATACTTATCATATTTCAGTTTGCAGTACGTTTGGGGGTCAGGAAATCAAAATATAATTCCGAAAATTACTATATCTTCAACGTATTCTCATTATAATTCCATCTTTTTGTGACAGTGATATAGGGCATTTCCACCAGTTTGCAATAACACTTTGTTTCGAACTGTGGATACGGCAAAAAAACTGAATTTATTTTTGCGGCTCTATAAAAATACTGATGGAATACAATAACAGATAGCAGTTGTGGCAAATTGATACGTTAAACAAAATGGAATTTTGAATTGCATTTCAATTTTATGCAACCTTCAAACGTATGAAAAACTATAAAATTTGACTAGTACGCTGGATTCCTCTTTCCACCAGCTTTCAAATGAGGGGTCACATGCCATAGAGTTACATTTGAAAAAATCATGTTGAGTGTGGTTTCAGCTGACCCTGAAGGGATATAATCTCGATATTGCTTGCAAATGGTTGGTAAATACATTAAATCGTTGACGTATGTCGAGAATTTTTATAAAAATATTCACCTCAGCTCTAACGAATTTATGCCAGTTGAAGTCTTCACACTGTATGACATCAAAAATGAATGGTACACATAACACGTATATTTTCTTAATTTTTCAGGTACGCTTATGGGCCATTTGAGATATCCGAAGGACTTTAGAGAACCTGTAGTCCTGGCTACGCCAGTAAGCCTCATAACCAGCGAATTATTCCAGATTGAGGATATTTATGTGAAATTCAAAACTTGATGGTAGACGACTACCTAATGCAACTGAACTCTGCCTCCTATTGAAATATATTGGTATACAATTCAAAGAATGTATCAAACATTATTTTTGATATTGATGTCTATGTACGATTCATCCCAAATTATATAGCATTGAAAGCAATCTGTTTATTTGATTATAAGAATATCATGCAACTATTAGTTTCATTCAATATTCGACTATCAGATGCTTGAGTGAACTGGTTATAGGAGATTGAAAATTCAGAGTGAGAATGTCGATCATTGAAATTTCAAAGTTGAGTGAATATCAAATTCAGTACAATTTCAAGATACCTATAATAAGGACAATTGAAACAAAAAAAAAGTTCAAAAATCAGCATCAAAATGTCACTGCTCCTGAAATTGCACTATTAGAAATCTGAGGAATCAATTCAATTGATAGTCATAGACCCTTGCTTGAAGAATATTTGAAGAGGTATGTGTATTGGAATATTATAAAATCTCAATTATCTTTGTACCTTCTGGAACGAATCTGCTTCCGTCTTCAAATAAGACAAGAAATTCATAATCAATTCTTGATATTGATCTGTTCGTTTCTCTATTTCGAAAAATATCATTTGAAGACCACAGGGAAAAAGGGGGAATATCACAATATAGTGGTAATGGACTTGACACCGCCATCTGATAGCCTAACCACTATATTTTAGTGTAAACGAAAGTCCATAGCAATAACGCAGCATGGTCAGCTAATATGCTCGTTCGAAAATAGGTTCACATGGAAAAAACGCATCAGAATGTCCACTTCAAAAATGTGAAGAAATGGAAACGTCCAAGCTTATAGTGCTTGATTACAGATTCCATTGTGATTTCAATAGGGTTTTCACACTGTCAAGAGGTCACAGTGAACTCTCAGGCAAACAAAATATGGAGCACACCAAAGGGAATCCCTATAATGTTAATTTTTTCAACTTTTGGCGATTATAAGTTCTTGGGAATACTCTGTTAGGCAAAATATTCCAAAGCTTTCTATGTTATATGCGAGTTTTGGTAAAAAGTTGTTCGACATATTTCCAGGTTGACGAAAAAGGTGTGTTGACTGTGCTTGTCGAGTACGTCTGAGTGATGAGAATAAAATAATGATATTGCTATACATGATTCCATAGAAAATTATCAAATCATATACAACCGTTCATTAGGTAGTCAGGCAAGAATTGAGAAATGTACCAGAGCAGATAATTGCGAGTACACAATCCAGTTCTTTGGCAATTTTTTTGGACATTCCCATTTTTTCCTTGGATCTTCGGACTTACTTTTTGTTTTCGATGATTTTGACATTCAAATATGATCTTTATTTTCAGTTGTTCAAATATATTGCTCATTATACAACATCAAATCAATCCAAGTGGTTTGATTTTAGTTTCCTTCAACTTCCAAAAAGTAGGGAGGTTTTAAACTTTGAAATGCGTTTTCCGAAACTTACTTTTTGTAACATTCTCCCTCTTCTTCCTGTGGTCTTCATTTTGATTAGAACATTCCTTTTTATATGTGTGTGAAAATATTCATTGGACATCATAAAGCTCTTAGATGATTAAGCCTTCAGCAGTATTTCCTGAAATCAATATAAGAAATACAAGCAATATGCATTAAAATGAGTGCCCCCATATATCATTCACCACTATACCGAAATATTTAAGAGCAATTTTCCGAGGTGTGGTGTTGTACTTGGAAGAAACCTGCAAGGTGATCTGGTATATCACAATAGGACATCAAATGAATTTTGGGATTTTGGGCGTTGGCCCTCCTTCATATAACCTGATTCGACCAGAACCAGAACAACATCATTAATATATAATTTGGGACTGGTTTTTTTCTGATAGGTGGTCATTGCAAATTCAAGAAGTTTAATATGTAGTCTGATAATCATAAATCATATTTTTTAAGGATACTTTCGATTTGAGATTATCCTTTCATTAGTTTTTTTACCATAACGCCATATATTTTAAATTTCTACTGAATTTCTCGATTTCATGAACATATTTCAAAAACTAATGAGTCGCTAATAGGATGAATGATGTTTAATGAAAAATGGATATGGAAGCAAATAATCAGCTGTCAAATTCTTTTGATTTTTGCTAATCTGTGATTTCGAAACATAGAATCAAATAATCACTGCTCTGACGATAGTGTAATTTGAACAATATTCATTGTATTCCTGAAAAGTGAAATTACATTAACCAAAAGATGCACTTGTTGATCATCAGGTGTCAAATCAAATAGTATTCCGATTTATAATGAGAGAGACCTTTTTTTGTGAGGACGAACATAAGAACAATAAAAAGAGAATAGGTATACATCAACAAATCAAAATCAGCCAAACTAATCCTTACTAAAAATAGACAAGCAGAGTGGGATGATATCGAAATTATATAGGGAATAAGTTAACAACAATAAAAAATTTAAAGAATCCGCTTGCATTCTTCTCGCTTCCTGTTCAGTTGAGATACATAAAAAATGGTACTGAAATCTGAGTATCGAAATGGTAAATTAAAAATTAATCAATCAAACCATACTTCCATTAACTTTTATCACTGCATGAGAAGTGTTAATACCTACAGGAATCCGATTACTATTTACCAAGAATAATGTTTGCATTATTATATATACAGTGTGGGCAATTCCAACCCGCATCAACACCTTCCTAATTCGGAACCCGTCGACTGATTTCTAGATGAAAGAATTCCATGATATAGTACTCAATGAGCTCTGTTCGGAAATGTTGACAAATCTGAATTATTCGGATTTTCAAAGCCTACTTTTGTTAGTAGAAACATGGATCTAAATATCTATGGTAGAAAGTATCAAAATTTCAAAAACGACTATAAAAGGCAATTTTTTTCGAAGCAGTGACAAGTCTATTCGATTCAGGCATAGCTGAAATATATCCATAATGAATAGCTCATATGAGGTTTCAGTTATTCAATGGAAAATTTCGATATTCATGATTTTTTGATTCACCCTGTGTGAAAACTAAAGAGTTGATGTAACCGGTAAAGTAGCCATTGAATGGAGGAAGACATCGAATACCCAGATTGGGAGTTACACAACAATTTCCATTGTCATCTAACATTTCCATTCTATTTCCCCAAAATCGGTATATTATAAGATTACGATCACATCCAGAGAGTGTTTGTCTTTCATTGTATTTGTCTTTCATTGTATTTGTGTTATATGAGATAGCTCTTTATCAATTGAGATATTTTCTGAAGTTATTGAGTGGTGGAGTAGTGATTCACAAGAGACGAACGAGACGAGACTTTCATAAAGTCGAGACTCTCGCGGGCACCACTATGGAGGAGTGTGTGAAAAACGGTTTACTCGAGTTTTCAAAATGGTATGAATTTCAACAACTTTAGTTTTGTTTATTTTTGGTTCACCAAGAGACAACTTCCTGTAGAACTCACAATGATGAAACTTCTTATCTAAGTTTTTTATGTGTTTCTTAATTATTGAATAACGCCTCACCGGTTATATCAACTCATCAAGTTTTATTACAGGGTGAATCGAAGGAACGAGAATTTTGGAATTTTTTATCGAATAAGTAACTCCCTATATGGGATATTGCGTTCAAATTTTGTATGAACGTATTTCATTTATGCCTGAATGGAATTATCTGATCGTCGTTTTTGAAATTTCTACTCCTTCAACAAACAAAAGTAGGCCTTGAAAATCTAAATATTTCTGAATAGAGCTCGTTGAGTATCATATTATGGAATTTTCGTTTTTGGAAACCGGTGGACACGTTCAAAAATTGTTTCAGGTTGAAATCACACACATTGTATGTTGAAAATGAAAGTAGACTCACTCTGAAACGTACAAATATTTATAAGTAAAACATTTATGTTTTTCGATTGATCGAAATTTTCTTCCGTGCTCTCTAATAGTGAGATTTTCAAATGCAGCGACATTATTCAGGCCAATCATCCGATTTCCCCCTACTACAGAATAGTATACCTAAAAAATTGTTCTAAAATTGTTCTTATCCATAATTCGGTTGCCCCCTCGCGAGCAACCCTCCCAAAAAATAAAGTGAAAAGAATAATTCATCAGCTCATATTATTTTAAGTGATTCTTTCCTATTTTTTTCTGGCAGCTGGCATTACCTGGTTCATACCCAGGTTATGCCAGTAATGCCCAGGTAATGCTCAGCTCGGCGTTTAGGAAGGAAACACTTGCGATTTTATTCGTCTATACGAATTATTGCATAGATTTCAGGAGGACTTAATTCAATGTTCTGCGTGGCATATAGCCAAGAAAGTAGTTGTTTTTCTCTCGTCAGCTACCAATTTCGTTCATTTAATGAACTATTTTAGTAATGCCTCTGAGTTTCTCCCTTTTTGTGGCCATTTTATTTCACTTCGAGTATTTGGCTCTTTCCTAATTGGAAATAGTATATTGTTTAACAGGCACGGAATGACTATCATTTCCCACGAGTATAGAGTTTGACATGAACAGTAGGCGAGATAAAAAGTAGTTGTTTTTTTTCTCGTTATCTACCATTTTCGTTAATTTATGAACTAATGTAGTAATGCCTTTGAGTTTATTTCGTTTTGTGGACATTTTATTTCACTTTGAGTATTTGGCTCTTTCCTAGTTGGAAATAGTATATTGTTCAACAGGCACGGAATGACTATCATTTCCCACGAGTATAGAGTTTGGCATGATCAGTAGGCGAAACAAAAAGTAGTTGTTTTTCTCTCGTTATCTACCATTTTCGTTAATTTATGAACTATTGTATAGAAATGCCTTTGAATTTCTCTCTTTTTGTGGCCATTTTATTTCACTTTGAGTATTTGGCTCTTTCCTAGTTGGAAATAGTATATTGTTCAACAGGCACGGAATGACTATCATTTCCCACGAGTATAGAGTTTGGCATGAACAGTAGGCGGAACAAGCTGTTATTGTTTTATCAGGTAAGGAAATGGAATTGCATGAATACATACATAACATTTTTGTTATGTTGATAAGTGGAATAATAACGACATAAATTAAAAATTTGATCAGTAAATCCTTCGAAAAGGTGACAAAATAATGAATTAGGAAATGAATGCAGATAGAAATCTCAAAAATATTCAGCGCGGGTGCAGAAAATTGCTCAACATTGCATATAAAGGTCGAAATAAAAAAACTGGACCA